ATACTAGGAAATGGCTCTTATTTCTTCTCTTCTTTGTGACCATAATCCACTTTTTATAGGATTTGGTCTTCTCTTTTCCTAGTGGAACCGATCCCGTGGGTAGAAACTATTTTTTTCGTTAAGTCTTTTTCTAAAAATCCCCCTACTTTGGTGATGTGATGTTTTCAAAAAAAAACTTTTCCCCATCAAATTATCTCAAATTGCTAATAGACTCGCAAGTATATTTGAAATTTATCAAACAAAATAAAAAAATGTATATTTGCAAATATTATTGCGTTTTATCTTTTTTGTTTAGGGGGAGGAGTGGTCAAGCAAACTTCATGAGTCCCAAATTGAAATTACAAGGAATTATATTATACTGCGGAAATCGAATGAAATTTCAAATATTTTGATGATACCAATTTGTGTAAATTAAGATATAAAGGATTTCAGTTTTACCATCTTTACCGGCACATATTTATTCCCAACTAAAATCGCAACTCTAGTACATTTATGATTGTACACTTTTAAAATCTAACACCAATTGGTAAAAGCTGGTGAAATCCTCCATTAATGCCTCCTTTTCCTGTTAATTACTTTTTACATCTGCACCTATATATACACAGACAATCGTGTTCCCTTCTTCATTATCATCAAAATATTCATCACCATTTTTGAGTATATACGATGACCAATTCGGTGGCTAATTTGGCACTACTAGGGTTTTGCATACTTCAAGTGCTATGCTTACTTGTTCCGCAAGCCAACGCAAGGGCTTTCCTTGTGTTCGGAGATTCCTTAGTCGACAATGGCAACAATGACTTCCTTGTTACCACTGCTCGTGCCGACAATTACCCTTACGGTATCGATTACCCGACTCATCGTCCCACCGGGCGTTTCTCCAATGGGCTAAACATTCCGGATCTAATCAGTAAGCAATTTCTTATTCTCCAAGTAAAAAATAACACTCAAAAGTTACCAATAATAGATTAATCATAATGATGATCTTTGTATACAGGTGAGCATTTGGGTCAAGCGTCTCCGTTGCCGTACCTTAGTCCTATGCTTAAGAAAGACAAACTCTTAATCGGCGCCAACTTCGCTTCCGCCGGTATCGGAATCCTTAACGACACCGGAATCCAGTTTGTAAGTTTTACTACCGGAATATAACATACGGTTAAGGGCATTCTTGAAATTCTTATAATGTAGGGTATTTTGGTAATTTCAAACGCAGCTGAACATAATCAGGATCACTAAGCAGCTCGAGTACTTCCAACAGTACAAGGTCCGAGTGGCTGGCTTGATCGGAGAAGAAGAGATGGAGCGGCTCGTGAACGGAGCTCTTGTCCTAATAACACTCGGAGGCAACGATTTCGTCAACAACTATTACTTGGTCCCTTTCTCTGCAAGATCTCGTCAATACTCTCTCCCCGACTATGTTGTCTACATAGTTTCTGAATACCGCAAAGTCTTACGGGTTAGTTGTTCATTTCTCTTCATATACTAATACTAATAGGAATCCCACATCGGAGAAAAAAATCCCACGTCAGAAGTTTAAATCTTTAGTAGCATATATATATGTTGAAACTTAAGTGTCTCATATATACAAATTTCATATTGTTTTATAGAAAATGTACGATTTTGGTGCTCGACGTGTCCTGGTGACTGGAACAGGGCCAATGGGTTGCGTCCCGGCGGAGTTGGCTCAACGTAGCCGCACGGGCGAGTGTTCTACCGAACTACAACGAGCCGCGGCACTATACAACCCACAGCTTGTTCAAATGATCAACGACCTTAACAATGAAGTTGGATCTTCTGCTTTCATCGCTGCTAATACTCAACAAATGCACATGGACTTCATAAGTGACCCACAAGCATATGGTATATGTCGTCTTTTTATCTTTAAATTTACTAATAAGTAATAACATTATTCTTAAACACGGTAATATTTGAGCATCAAAATTGGTTTAATTAAGGATTTTTTTTTTTTTTCCATTGGTTTGGCTTTGAGAAACGTTTATATTACAAGAACATAAATTGAATACTAGTGATCGCACGACCTTAATCGTTTTGCAGGATTCGTATCGTCGAAGATCGCTTGTTGTGGACAAGGACCTTACAATGGGATAGGACTATGCACAGCGTTATCAAATCTTTGCCCGAACCGGGATCTTTTCGCATTTTGGGATCCTTTTCATCCATCAGAGAAAGCAAGTAGAATCATTGCTCAACAAATCCTCAATGGCTCTCCTGAATATATGCATCCCATGAACCTTAGCTCCATCCTCACAGTTGATTCCATGACGACCTAATCTTCTATATTAATCAAATCTCAAATGCCCCTTTCTGTTCTCTTTTAATCGTTTTGGTTTTTCTCTTTCATTGTGTATTTCTACATGTGGTTGGTTCTCTTGATTAGTTTCCATGAGTTATGCTGTGAGTTTTGTGTTCTTCATCAATAATTTAGTCACCAATTATATGTGAGTTGAGAAGTAATATTTGTTTTGGCAACAATCTTTCGGATGCTCATTTTCGATCTTCTTATTTAAAATTTCAAATTAATTTGGTTATAGGTTTACAATGGACTGACTCATTAAACAATATAAACAGTCACGTGATCAGTTGTTACACCTAAATTAAATGATAAATCACATACGCATTCATTTCGTTGTCAAATTCGGACATTTTAATATTGCCCACCAAATTACAAGGCCATTAAATTAGACTATTTGTTTGTGGAG